TATACGTGAAAAGGTTGGAGTAGCTCTAGTATAAGATAAGATTAGAGAGAGTCGTCTTAGATGGTTTGGTCACATAAAATGTCAGCTTTCTGATTACCCAGTTAAGAGAGTATATGTATTAGATTTGACTTATGTTAAAAAAGATAGAGACATACCTAAAAAGACTTGGTTAAAAAATATTAGGAATGACATTTCTTTGTTAGATTTAAACAAGAATTTGACTTTTAATATGACACAATGGAGAAAAAGGATTCATGTAGCCGACCCCACGTAGTGGGATAAAGACATGATGTTGTTGTCGTTGTAAAGATGTTTTAAAAAAGCAATAAAAAAGCCATCCCAAACGAATCATAAACCTCCGTTTGGAACAACTTCTTTGATATTTTTTAAGTATTTTTTTATTACAATTTTTTTTAATCATAAATTTTGATACTAAAAAGCTACTTTAAAAAATAATAATTAAGTCGTCCCAAATGAAACTTAAGGGCCTATTTTGGACTGCTTTTTAGTTACTTTGATTTTCATATAGCAATTAAAAATTTATTTGACAATTACTTTCTTGTTGCTTTTTTATTATATTTTAGAAATTTTTGCAAATGAAAATTACTTTTTATAATCGTAATAATGAAATTGTTCTCTCTAAAATAACTACTTAATTAACTTAATGAAATATTACAATCATTCCAAACATACCCTAAGTATTAATTTAGGATGACTATAACGTTTTATAAAGTTTATTGTAAAGTTGCTATGAGGAAAGCAATTGAAGATTCGTTTAGGACGGTTGCAAGGATTTTGATTATAGAAAGTAACGTTTCACCACTAAATTTTTGAAAAAGTATGAGAAATTAGTCAGGAAATAATAGTCAAATGAAATTATGGTTGCTAAATATAAAATAAAGTATATAAAACTATTTCAAATAGACCCTATGAGAGCGAAATATTTAATATAAAAATTTTAAAACTAATCCAATTAATTTTTTTGCTTATATTTTGACCCTAACGTGTTGCAAGCCGAGCCTTTATTTGTGACCAGATCTTCATGAATGGTGTGACCTCTTCCGCTTATAACAGACTTAATTCTATTAAATTAATTTTTAGATAAGAATAATATAAAAATTATTTAATTATTTATATTGTATTTATCTTAAAATAAATTTAATGATTATTAATTTTATTATGAAAAAAAAATTATCCAATTTTTCTACTATTCAACAACAACAAAGAAAAACCATGTTATAAATTATAAATTTCTTCAATTTACTTTTTATGCATTACCAAAAATCGTCTTGATCATACACGAATCTTGTGGCATATTCAAGTTGAAAACTTTCAAAATTAAATTCGAGGTCATTTGAACTCCAATTTTGGCAAAGTTATTGTCAAGCTGAATGTTTAGAAGAAATGAACCCAACGTTAAAAAAATTTGTCTAATCCGAGCCAAAATAGGCCCAAATTAGGGGCCTGGAGCTTATTTGGAAGGTTCAAAGCCTAATTGGATAAAAAAATGATATCCAAAATATGGCAGGCTTGAAGTCGAATCGAGTGGCTCGGCGAGGTGAATCTAACGAGCCCAAGATTGCTGAATTCTGACATCATTAAGACACTTAAACATTTGAAAAACACTCTATGATTGGGGAATCAATATGAGTCATCCGATTGAGCACTACAAATTTGCCCTAAATCTCTCCATATTTATGGGACATGCCACCCTAAAAAAGCTATAAATTGATCCCATGCCTTCAAAAGGAGGACCTTTTGCAGCGAGTTTTGCTACATATTGGAGAGAGCTCTAGGCTTCCAGAGCTCCAGCACCACTGCCGACGAACATCCGTTGACCGTCATTGAACAAACAGTCGATCAACGATCACCGATCACTGCAAGAATTCCGTCGACTGTCATACTTTCATCGGACCATCATCAGACCACCACCTGTCATCAACTGCCGTGGGACTTTCACCCTGCTACCGACAGCCACTGGAGTTCCACCCGACAATTGTTAGACCACTGCCTGGTTGTCGACAGCTGCCAGACAACCACAAGACTGATGACTACTTCCGAACATCCACCCAACCGTTGGTAGACCATCGACGGACTTCCACATGGTCGTTGGACTTCTGTCTGAGCGTCCTCAGACCACTGCTTAGCCACTAACCACTATTGAATTACCACCCGGTCATCGACTGACCCCTGGACTTCTACCCGACTATCGGCCGCCGCCGGGCTTCCACCCGACCATTATCGTAAAACCGCTAGTTGTTGATCGCTGCCGGACTTCCACCCGACTATCATCGGACCACCGCCCGGGCGCTGACTATTACCAAACTACCAACCAACTGTCTACCGCTGTTGAACTTTGGCTCAACCGTCAGTAAACCACCGTCAAACTATCTCATGTTCACTGATCGTCACCGGAATTCCACTGGGCTACTAACCACTACCATACTTTCCCTCGACCATAGTCGAACAGCCGTCAGGCCATTGACCTATGCCACCAACCGACTACGATCTCACGAACCACCATCGCCGATTGACAACTATCCTTCTGACTACCATGGCTAGATGACTTTGGTACCTTCGACCACCGTTTCCCACTAACTACGATCCCTCCAATCACCGTCGCCTGCTAACTATAGTCACTATGATCTTCATTGTCCAAATACAACCTGACCAATCAAATGAATATGCCAACATTTTGTTGAGAATGGCTCCCTTATCATTGGCTTCTTCCAACCCCACTATGTAATGTGCTCTATATAATACATTGAGATAATGTCTGCCCCCCCCCCCGACAGAGGGGCGTCATTTGTAATCGACTACAAACACTAATGAAATTATTTTAATTGGGCCATCATCCTTGATTTTTCTCCTTTTTAGGGTTTATTACATAAATATCTTGGTATCTCTTATGACTTTTGCACCCCTTCTCTTTATATATTTGTGTGTTCAATCTTTGTACAAAGCTATCACACTAAACTACATATCTCTCTACTCTATGAATTGTTCGGTATGCAACAACTTTGAATATATATATATATACTCTTACAATATTTTTCTTCTCCAAATAAATTTAAAAAATTTAAATTCATCTCATCCAAATTTTGGTGTGGATAACCTCAATCCTTTAATTTTTTTTACTTGGAAAATTAAATGAAAATTTCCTAAGTACATTTTGATTTTGATGTATTTTTAAATTTGGAAAAAAAATTTGTTAAGACATCTTAATGCAAAATCTATTAGGATTGGCTTCAAAACTTTATGTCTTAGACCAATATCAGTGTAAATCTATGGGTTTTGAAGTTCATTATGATGCATTTTGCATAGGATATCCTGCCAATAAGTTTCCCTTTAAATTTGAATTTATTTTGATATTAGTGTAATATAAGGGTTGATCAATTACCTATATATTACACTCATTTTTAAATAAATTAAAGAAATTAAATATATATTATTCTAACCAAAATCTAATAATTTTTTTATTCTTTTTATTTAATCAAAATCTAATAAAGTTATTTAGATTCCCTCAACTAGGGTCTATAAATGACTCGAGTTGAACTAGACCTACTCCTGGCTTGAAGTTTAATTCTACAAATTCGTTCCATTTCATTTAGCATGAAAGAGATAAAATAATTTTGTCGTAAATAGTTATCATAATAAAATCATAAAATATATGACATACTCTATAACACATAAGAAAAAATCACTTATTATAAGGAACTAATCTAAAATTTTCAGAAATTTCAAACAATTAATTTGAACTTAAATTTTTGAATTCTAATTTATTTTTAGTATATTTCATATTAACATTTATTAAACGATCCAGCTCACGAGTCAATTCAGGACAAGCTAAACTTCGCTCGTTAGCTCCTTCAGCTAAACTCATACGCCATTTATCGATCCAAATCCGAACCGCCTCACTTGCCGGCCGTCTCATTTACACCCTACACTCAACCAACAAATTTTGTCAGTCAAGATCCTATAAATTTACAGACCTAACACAAATTACATACATTATTAATTCGTTGAGCAATACCGGCTGTGTCTTCAAAGCCTGCTTTGATCTGGTTTATCTAAACTTATCCATTTGTTTAACTTTAAATTTGGACCAAATGATTTGACCGTTTAATTACAGGGCCTAATTCTAATTATTACGCTAATTAAGCATTTGGACTGTTTCTATTGCTAAGTATTAATCAAGGATAAAGGTGGATAATTAAATGCAATTATCGTTTTATAGCCCTGATCAGATCATATGAGTGGAATGAATCTAAATTATCATTAATTAAGTATTTTTTAGGAGATAAACACATGGGATTAGTTTATTGCTAAATATGTAAATAAAATTAATAAAAATAAGTTAGAGTTTAATTTTTACGAAGTATCATATTATTAATTTTATTAATATATCAGTGTTCTAAATG